ATAGCTGAGTCGGTATATTGGAAAATCCCCCCTCCCTATATCCCTTAACATATTAATAGAAACGAGGAAAGGGGGGGGTATTCTCCAGAGAATCCATCATATGTATTAAATGTGATGCTATTCTGTATTCTACCTTGGAGACACTGTGCAGAACATTTAACTAGAACTGTGCACAGCCATAAATCAAGATTGGATGCATTTAATAAGACAGCTAAGCTCTCCCCATTCCAACTAAGCCCTTAGCATATTAGTTTAAGGCTGTCCTGTATCTGGGACATAACAGGACTCACTTTCAAGGTAAACCAACCAAGCAAGATCACTTGTGTTTGTTGAAATATGTATATTTTCTAAGAGGGCCTTAGATCTTCAACAAAGGGATTTGCAGAGTATCTGATCTTAGAATCTCTAGCTCTCCAGAGTAACTTCATCCTTTGTTCCCCCAAAGGGGAAGCTACTGGCTTCAAGCCACTAGTTCCAACTGCTAAAGAAAGAAGAGCACACAAGAAGGCAATCACAATGGTAGTTCTTTGAGATCTAGTGGTGTGTGGCTATGAAGGGATATTCAGTCACTATGCATGTTTTTGCTTTAGATTCTGAACTTCAGGTTTTGGCCTAAAATCTATAAAGCCCAAAATGGAGAGACCAGGATATCTAAGCAGCTGTCTTGTCCTAGATGAATCTGATATGTGTAAGATGGCCAGTGCTCTAGGAAGGAACAGACAAATCACTCAATTTCTGATTTTCACCAGTTCCTCGTGTGTTCAGTCATAAATACATTCCTTCAACTTTCCACATTTCAAGTTTGTAAAGCAACTCTTCAAAATAAACCATTGAAAAATCAATTTTTAGATTGCATGCAGTTTTCTTTGATCTATGTATTTTGTACATAACTCTCCATACTATACACATTTTAGTAGGTAATTTTCTCTAGAATTTCTACATTTTCTTCCTGCTGTATGAAATTCTTGAGCCAAAATATGTATCACAAAATTTGGAGAAGGGCACAGTCTGAAGGATACAAGTTGAGTCTTCCTTATCTGAAATGCTTGGGACCAACAGTGTTTTGGAATTTGGATTATTTCAGATTTTGAAATATTTGTGTATTCATAATGAGATAATTTAGAGATGGAACCCAAGTCTAAACATTAAATTCATTTATATTTTATATGAATCTTATACACATAGCCTGAAAGTAATTTTACACAAAATATTTGTAATAATTTTGTTCATGAAACAAAGTTTGGGTATACTGAACCATCAGAAAGCAAAGGTGTCACTATTCCAACCACCCATGTGGACAATTTTGGATTTAGGGATATTTCAGATCAATCTGCATATTTGTCTCTGAGCTGCCTCATAATATCTGTCTGTTCAGAGCTCTTTGCTTTAGCCCTTCACTACTTCCTTAATCTCAATCTAGGTTTGTGTGAGCCTGAACACAATCTTGATTTCACAAGCTGCAACCCTATTTCATAATAATGGACCTAAACAATGTCATCACTTTCCCTTTGATTCTCTCAAATGGACTGACTAATTAGGCCAAGACATTTTCCCTTTGGCATTGTATTTCATCTGGGTGAAAGCCCAAGCTGAGTCTGATTTGCAATGTAAATTGCAAGCTGTTGTGCATTTGTATAAGTATTTGTATGTGCATGGCCATCAGGCAAACTATACACAAAAGCAAAATATACTTTCAAAGGAGGAGCATGAAAACTCCAAAACTGAGATACATTCTATGAATTGTAGGAAATAAGAACACTTGACTAAATGTAAATAAGTTCTATAGGCTGCTTCATAAAAAATGGAAAGGTATTTTTCTCTCCATCAGGTAAGGATAAAACTATGTATAAAACTGTACCCTAGGAGGAAGTGGTGATGGCTATAGTCATTTTTAATTCTTTAACTGTAGCTGCTTGAGAAGATTAAGATGGGATCATAAGAATGCCTCTTGCTAATAGCAGCAATTAGGTATCCCACAGTTTTCCCAACATAGCCAGACACCTGCCTATATGGTGACAATAGATGAGTATTTTATTTCAGCTCAGTTTCTATAATAATTTATTAAAACTTGTAATTCTGAATTCTTCAGATTCAGGACAGAAAGAATTTTAAGTGTTTTTGTTTTGTTTTTTAGTGATATGAAAGAAGCTTCAGGTCATAAAACCATCCTTCCAAGCTGTGTCTTTCTTTCTTTCTTTCTTTCTTTCTTTCTTTCTTTCTTTCTTTCTTTCTTTCTTTCTAGCTTTGTATACCACATTAGTGATAAACCACACCAGTGATGAACTGGGGTTGTCACCATCCACCACCACCTGCTTCCCCAAGAGGCTCCTCATCTTTAGCATATTTCTGGGAAATAGGTACAACATGATTCTCTCCATATAAGGAATTGATCTACCGATCCAGACAGTACAAATTGTGGAATGGGTGGGGAGTAATGTTAAACCAGAATTCATACATTTCTTAATATTTAGATTATTTCTTGCTTACTTATACATTGGATCTGTTTGTCACCTCTGAGTCTACAAAGTCCCATGTGATGATGCACAATATTTAAAACATTATGTAAGACATTCTCACACACTCTCTCTACCCATAAACAAACAACCAGAGAAGCCAGAACTCGTTTCAAAAACCAAGGGCAAAGTACAAAACATAATATTGGCTGCCTGAAGTGTGTTAGAATGAGAAGGAGCCAGTCCATCTTCCCTTGGAAGGAATACCATGCTAGGGTGCTGCTACTGAGAAAGCTTTTTTACATGTACTCACCAACCCAGCCTCTCACAATTTTGGAATGTGCAGTGTGGCATCTATTGCAGATGCAACATTATGGACAGACTGATATGGTATGGGCATGCTGGTGCAGAGGGTTAGATATCCAGATCCCAAGCTAGGAAGGGCTTTAGTGGACAAAACCAGTCCCTTGAGTTGAGTTCAGAAGTAGAATGGAAATCAGGGCTATTCACACAAGACTAGCAATATATGGACTCTAAGCCACACTCCTGACAATAGTTTGGTCACCATGTACTACATTAGCTGTAGCTTCTAAACCTTTTTCAAGGGCAGCCCCTTACAGAGTGTTTTTCAGGGTTAGGGTTAGGGTTAGGGTTAGGGTTAGGGTTAGGGAGATATTAACACATGAAAGGAAAGGAGGCACTTGGGGCACCAACTGAAGTTGGGCAAAGGTTCTCCTGGCTACAGCTGCCACTCCCTGTATGCACAGTTGGGTCCAAGAGCATCCACAAGTGATAAGACTGAACTTTCAGAGAGAGCACAAAACAGATTGCAGTCCCAATTTCAGGTTAGCTTTTAGGCAGAGGCTCAATATATTCACCACATCCAGTCATTCACTGCCTTCGACAATGAAGTAGGATTCCCACAGTTTCCTTGGTAGAACTTAGTATGATTAACATGATGGTATTCAATCCTCAAATCCTGGATTGTTTCCCTCAGTGGCTTAATGCAGTTATTTAAAAAAACTTAGGGAAAAATAATGATCTCTAGAGAATGCTGCTGGCCTGGAGAGAACTAAAGCCTACATGTAAGTGTTTTTGTTTTGTTTTTTTTAATGAATGCAGAAGAAAGTGAAGCATAGGTATTCTAATCCCTTAAATATATCAAGTACCACACATTTGTATCAACTGGATTTTATGTTCACCAACTCCCAGGCCAAGGAATACACTCAATACTTCAGCAATTGTTTTAGGAAGAGAAACATTTGACAAATGCTGCTTTGCTTTTCCTAGGCTACAGTGATGGGAGAAGCAGACACTCTTGCTAAACTTCTCCCCTGTGTACGATTATTGAAGACAAAAGAATACCCTTTGCTGCCAGCTGTTGGGACACTAAAGTGACTGACTACAGTTGAGGCAAATCCCTTTCAGCATTCAGGCACATGTCTTCAGGGGGGAAAAATCTATTAGCATTTCCCCTAGCAGTGTGTGGGAGTAAAACAAGTTTGCACATGCACAACTTGTGTAAAGGCAAAGCAGAGACAATGAGATTGTGTGGGTAATACATAAATAAACAAAGGGTGACTAGGTGTGGTGTGATGGAGGGAGGGAGAAAGGAAAATATAGAGAGGATGCAGATACACACACACATTCACTCACACACATATGGGGATAGGGACTTCAGTGACTGAGCAAGAGTGAAAAACAGAGGCAGAGAGAGGAAATCCCTCTCCTTCTCTGTGAGTGGAAAGGGAAAAGATGGAAGAGGAAGGAAGAAGTGGATTGGCCTTTCTTATAGTGGTGGATGCTCTAACTTTCATGTACCAGGATGGAACTTGCAAACTCCAGAATTTTATTGCAGAATCCATGCCTACAGTAGAAATATTCTGCATTATTGGTCTAATCTGTGCTGCAGAAACAATACAGTTTTGACACCACTTTAACTGTCATGGCTTCAAGCTATGGAATTCTGGGATTTGTAGTTTTGTGAGATATTTAAACTTCTCTGCCAGACTTCTGGTTCCACAACAAACTACAAATTCCAGGATCCCATGGGATAGAGCCATGACAGGTAAGATGGTGCTGAATTACAATATTTCTTCAGTGCAGATTAGAGAGTTGTCAATGGTACAGTTGCAATGACCTTCACTTTTAGCCATTTGCCATGTATATTTTCTGGCAAGAAAAAGCATTTCCCAACAAATCTATTGATGTAAAATATTGTAACTCCCCCCTCAAGCCAATGTTATGTATTGAGACAACAAACAAAACAAAATAAAAAAAACCTCAAATATCTTTTTTTTTTAAAAAAAAAAAATGAACCACAATGCAAAAAACAGAAATGCTATACAGTGGTTGCCTGCAGTTTGGCTCCAATCAGGAATGGACATGGGAATTCTTATTTAGGTCAGGAAATACAAAATATGAGCATGGATATCTAACACAAGTCCTGATTCTGACCCTGACCACAAAGCTACGATTTAAGGATTCTCATTGAGGTTCAAAAATACACCACAACTCATTCAATGCAAGTGTTCAGCTAGCATGGTAGCCAGTGGGGTGTAGTGGTTTGAATGTTGGACTATGACTGGAGATCTGGGTTCAAATCCCAGCTTGGCCATGGAAATCCATTGGATAACCTTGAGCAAGTCACACTCTCTCAGCCTCAGAGGATGGCAATAGCAAAACCCCTCAGAACAAATCTTGTCAATAAAACCCTATGATATGTTCACTTTAGGGTCCTCATAAGTCAACTTAAAAGACACAACAACAACAACAACAACAACAACAACAACAACAACAAGCTATTCAGAGACAATCTATGCCAACTGCTGAGGAAACCTACCTGCAGCTCTCAAATGATCAAAGTATGTCATATCAGTGATATATTAATAGTTCTCTACAAAGAGTCATAAGAGAATTTGGGGTGACTGCTTAGAAAGAGACTTGCTTCTGATCCATTTCTGAGCAAGCAGTAGGATTCAGAGCAGGGTTATGGGATGGGAAGAGAGAGAACTCCAACACCAGCTTACAAATTCCATAAAGCTTCAATGTGATTTGCTTTCCATTTTCATTGGAAGAGTGGGGGAGATACAAGGGTTTCCACAGAGTAAGTATAGGTTTGAACACAAACAATTTGTGGCTTCAGCATTTCTTAGAGAAAACTACTTATTGAGTGTGATAAGCAACATGCACACTCAAATAAGCAAGAGAAGCTGGCAAGCTTCCATATCACCTTTCCCAAGAATTGCTGGATGCTGATGCTGTGTGTGCACACTTTAATAAATCTCAGATTCTTATCAAGTGTATTTTTATTAATCTAGGCTCAGCAGTACACTGATGGGGGAACAAACCCCTGTGCCTTGAACACACAAATTTACCCTCCTACATCTGCCAAAACCTCCACATCTTCTCCCTGACGGATCCCTAATTTCACAATGTCCTTGTCCCACCCTCATCTTTACTAATACCTGACAATTTATAAAAATTGGTGTATTTTTTCCCAAACCATCTCAGCTTGATATTGTTGTGGGAGGGGAAGAATTTGCATGGACTACCAATCAGCTCAGGGAATCTCCCCCCAATTTTTCCTCCTTGTATGGAAATTTATGCATACACATATTTGGATTTGTGTGTGTGTGTGTGTGTGTGTGTGTGTGTGTGTGTGTGTGTGTGATTGAATATGAATGGATATGCATGCATCTTCAATCCAAGGGGCTGTACAGACAGTCCATAAAGGGTGGCATCATGCTACCCCTTTCCTTGCCAGATAGGAGTCACAGCAACTGTATGCCATGGCCCCAATCCAGCACTTTGCTGCTCTAAAAAGAGCTGGCAAATGCCGCTCCTTTTTGGAGCAGCAAAAAGCATCTTTTGCTTCCGTGACAGCAGCTTTTACACAGTCCTTTGGCACAGCGTGTCTGAACGCTGCACCAAAGAAGTGCCCTGACACCACCTGCAGTGGAGCACATGACATGACAGTGGGATCAGGGCAAAGTTGGGGCGGCTGGTGTGCAGTCACCACACCCCAACTCCACCCCCCGGCCAGCCCTTTTGGCTGGCATGTATTCCCCCAAGTGTGTTTTCAAATGTCTATATTTACCCACATACATTTTCCCAGGTATGGATTTTTGGATGCATTTCCCCCCCTGCAAATCACTCTGCAAACTTATGCAACATGTGTTTGGGTTCACATTTAATTATCTCTCTCCTCCTTTCCCTTCAACAGATTTCTTTCCCATCTTTTATTGATTCTGTCTATGGTAATATTGTTGAGAATTATGCCTGTCATAGGCTGTGACAGACATAATTCAGCCACATTTCAAAGGTTTATACTTATAGTATAGTATGCAGCAGCATACACTGCAACTGCCTCTATTTGGCAGAAAGAATGTTGATTAATCCATCCCTTTTTTCAACTCTATTTAAATGTCCTGGCTTCTCTCCCCTCCTCTCACTTTGTGCCCTCTTCCTCAATTTATTTCAGTTGCTGAGAGCTGCATTCAAAGAGCAGAAGTAGTTTGCACTCAGTTAACAGAGCAAAGAGGGAGCAGAAGATAAGGTGCATTGTTGCCTTTCCCTGTAGAGTTGGACAAGAGCAAACTGCCACAGCCTCTTCTAGCTCATATGTTCTTCCTCATTTCATAATTTTCCATACTGACTGCACAATGATCTTGCTTTGCCATATGCATCCTGGTTTATGTTAGTATGTAGCAGAGGTATATAAAAATCCATCCATCTGTGGTTGATTTCATGGTAGCATATAATGGGAGTCCATTTTCTATATTACTTCATAAGACATAGATGTATTGCATATAGTGAAACTTCAAATGGGCACTCAGTAGAATTGTGTGTGTGTGAGAGAGAGAGAGAGAGCAGTTTGTAGGCCACAGCTCTTGTGTCTGTTTTAAAACAGTAACTGAGAAAGCTCCCTACACCCTCAACAGATCATGAGGGGCAATTTTAATAGATGTACACAGCCCAAGAACTGCCTTAGGTAAACAGGAGGTTTTTCAAAACTAGAAGGGACTCCTAATCACTTGCTGGTTGGGGAAAAAAAAGAAAACCATCTCCTGGAGCTAAAATAGGTCCAGAAAGCTGCAGAATATGATAACATTGCTCCTCACAACTCCTAGGGAATGTGAGAGACTTTTTCAGTAAAAAAGGGGAAGCATGGCTCTCTGTGTCCAACAGAAGAAATATGTATAGCTCCTGGACCTGAGGCAGTTGCCTACCCTTGTGTGAGAAGAATAGCAAAGAGCTGTGAGGTTTCCTAGATGTATTTTTTCTTGTTTATACTTTTGTTTCTTTAAAACATGGTCAGATGGCAATTTGTATTAACACACAGCACAGCTTGCCAGGGTGCTGTGTCTTTGAAGACCTGACTTAGATGCCAGGTTAATGATATCACAGTGCCAAGTACCATGCACAGGGAGTGCGGCAGGGTGGAGCTCAAGGCATTTGGATGCATGTTATAATAATAATAATAATAAAATGTATTTATATCCCACCCATTGGTAATCCAAT